ATGTATTTGGTGAAACTTTTGCAAAACAGTAAAATTTAATAAAAAAATGTTTTACAGATGCAAACGCCAAATAAAGCTGATACAATAATCCAAGAAATTTTTTTACTATACACCTTTTCCTATGGATATGTAGCTTCATCGGTGATTTTTTTAAAAACAAAATTAATAATATAGAATATATATTTTAAAACTTATTATTATTGTTATTTTACTTTTGGAATGCAGAACTAGGCACTAAATTTATATAATAAAATGTATAAGCTTTTATTTTTTGTTATTGTGGAATACAACTTAGGAACTAAATCCATTATAATTGATAATTCATAATAAAATGAAAGCAACCAAATTACACCATGATGAGAATTTTGATGAATTGAGAATGAAAGAAAGTGAATTGAAATTGCATGAGGTCAAGCCTGAGAATCCATCATATACAAAGCAAATAAAATAACAACAGAAGGAAATGAATTAAAATGATGAACAGAGAGCAATAAATCAAAATGAGAAGAAAAAGAAAAGGCAAAACTCAAAAACATACACACAAGAAGTAAAGATGGAAGGTTGAGAAGGAAATACCCTTTAATAAACTTCTAACTCTATTTGTAGTTGAAGTTTTGTTGTATGTGAAATTTTGATGAAAATGGAGAATAAGATATCAAATGATGAGTGTGTGTAGTGTTTGTCTTGTTTTATCTTCAACATTTTTCCCTCTTTATTCTAATGCTTCTAATTACATAAGGAAACCAAGAAGAATAAAAAAAAAGACACAAAATAGTCTTAAGTAAAAGTGAATACAATTTATGATATGTTTAGAGACTAAAACAATGTGATTACATTAAGAGACTTAAATTAAACAAAAACTTCATAGGTTTTGTTTTTAATTTTCTTAAATATAAAGGAGTGTTTGATATACAAGTTTTTTATTCCTAAGAATAATGTTTTATTTGAAAATTTCATATTTGACAAGCCTAAAATGTTAGACTTAGGAAACAAAAATTAGTGAAGAACATAAATAAAAAACGATTTCCAATAATTTTGTATTCTTGAGAATTATTTTCAAATTTGTTAGGAATTCAATATTTTTAACCTATGATTTTTTAAAAATCAAAATAATTCTCTACTTTACACCCCTTAAGGATATCAAATAAAAATTTTAGGGATAAAAATAATCATTTACTCGAAATTATTTATTCATATTAATGATATTGAAAAATTATTAATGAATTTAGAAAATCATTTTTTATATTAAATTTAATACTTTCAGTGTTAATTAATTTTTTCATATAAATATATTTTAAAATATTAATTATGAATTAAAATCTCAACATTAACGTATATACAATTTAAATTTTCTTGACTCAACTTTCAAACTTACCAGTTTACTATTTTGAATATTTTTCTCTTTTAATATATATTTTTATGAGGATTGTACGCAAACTCATATCCAAACTTTTTCATAGTTATAAATATTTCTTCTTTTAAATGCTTTATTCATTTAAACCCTTTACATTTGACTTGAATTTAAAATAATCATGTGAGATATTTGAGACATTTATTAGTTACACCTATCATTATCATTCTTATTAAAAGAATAGAGCTAGCAATTACATTTTAATAATTTATAAACAAAATTGTCATGAAAAAAAATAATATATTGAATTTAATAATGAAAATATCAACAAATAATTAAATATAAAACAAAAATGAATAATCTTTATAGAGTTAAAAGTACTTTTTAACACCATCCAATTAGTAACTAAGAATTAAGTAATTATTTCTTAAAAAAATGTTGGTTGATGTAATAGTAGTTCCACATACATCTATTAGATTATTTTAATAGTGTATATAATTTTAAAGTAGAATATAAGTTAATAATGTTAATTTTAAAATGAATAAAAAAATATAAAAAAAATATATTTTTACATAGAGGTGCATTTCATTGTATTCTTTACACAAACAATGTTGATTAATTTCTTATGGATTTGTGGGTTAATTTTTTTAATTTGTTGATTAATATTATGGGTTTATTTTTTATGCTGAGTACAAGACTTTAGTAATTCAGTGTTGGCCCAAAGTTCACTAAATTCATAGCCCATTCATTCACAAATTAACAAATGGGACCCTTCCATTGTCACGTTAGTAGGGATTCCACACTCATATTTAAATATATATTTTTCATTTTTATCGTTTGTTTTTAATAATTTAATGATTAAGATAAATTAATAGTTTTTATAATTAAACAATACAAATAAAAATTAAATCTAAGCTTTTTTTTATTTTTGGAATAATTTCATATATATATATATATATATATATATATATATATATATATATATATATATATATATATATATTCTCAAACGAATTTTTTTTATCCAACTGCATATATAAAATTATCTCATAAGTGACTTTACATATTAAATAATTATCATAGTTTTAAATTTATACACTAATTATTGACTAATATATAATTTTTTAAAATAATTTTTTTTATATATTTGGCCACCACTACTAAAATATCCTAGCCCGTCCCCTACAAATCATTTATATATTTCATATAAAACTATTTTTATAATATATTTCGAATGTTACGGCATTTATATACAATAAAATTTTGAAAAATAATAATTTGTAAACTAAGTTCATATATTGTTAAGAATGTTAGTATTATTTAAATTTATTTAAGCTCCTTAATTTTATAAAATAAGAAATTATAATTTCCAATTACCCTAAATCATAATAATATATAATAATATACAAATTAGCAATTCTCGTGTTTCTTTTCTTATATGGCATGGATAAATTCAATTTTGCTCCTATAGTCCAAAACCTTTGGCAAGTTCCTAAATAAGCAAAACTAGGTTAATTACCTAATCAATGAGATTTATTAATACTCGTTTTTAACATTAAATAAAAATAATATAGCTAATTTTTACTTATAAATATTAAGTTTTTTTCTTTTATGTATGAGTCCCCAAAATATATATATATATATATATATATATATTAAATTTCAACTATTTAATTCTTAATTTAAACTTTTACTTTTAAATATAACATTCTTAATGAGTTTTAAATTAGGTATAAAAATGAAAATTTATAAACTGATTAATATTTAAAAATATTTGTGTATAAAAAATCGTAAAAATAATTTAACATTAAATATGTAAGTGACTCTCATAATAGAGAGTAAATATGATGTTATGCGTTCTAATTAGATGACATTTCGTCTATTATTTTATCACTTAACGACAAGATTATAATAACAGAAATTAAAACAAGAATATTTTATAATAAAATGACGAATTTTATACTAATAGAAAATACTATTCAAACTGTCTTTTCACAAAGGATCAATGACATATTTAAATATTTAAATAATATTATTGTTATCCTTCAAATTGAAAAGAAAAAAAAATAGGCTATATAATTTGAAGAAAAAAAGAGTCTGTTTGTCCAAAAACATATTTATTAAATGAATATTTTAGAAAGAAAAAAATTACTGAATGATGATAATATGAAAGTACTTGTAATGATTACTTAGGAAAGAAAATATTTTACGAGTATTTAAAACAAAGAGACTGGAATAAATATTTTTCAAATTAAATTAAAATGACTCAATTTATCAATTTTAAATTTGGAAAATAAAAAAGAATTTCACGAGAGTTAAAACACATTTACTATTTTTTTTAAATATGTTTTATTTAGTTGATATTTTTTTAACTTAAAAATGGCTTCATTTATAACACTTCATCCGTGCATGAAAGACATTCTCACGTTTTAAATATGAAATATATAAATTAATTTAGGTTTAATTTGATCCAACACAAAAGCAAATATGAAAGTTTGCATTGTCACTTTTCTATTTTGTATACTATAATTGATGCACTTCCACATGTCCTTATTTTCAATATCACCTATCAATTCATGTACTAATTATTACAATTTGTTCTTTACAATACATTTTCTGCTCACTAATGATATTTTTTTTTAAATCTTATTATAGCAATGGTTTAATAACCACATTATTTAAACAGATGTTGTTTATATATTAAAATTTATTGTAAAGATAATTTTATGTAATTTTAAACAACTTATGATAATATGAAACATACATTAAAATAATAATTTTTGTGAACAATTTAATGGTCTAAAAAATACCTAAGTTAGGCCAGACTTGCCATTATTGCTCTTGTCCTATACCGTTCATTGCTATCCAAACATCTTCCTAACTTCGTAACATAACAGAAAAAAGGTTTAAAGAATTAATAAATAAAAAAATTGTATTAAAAAAAATGGTGAGTTGTAAATTATAGATTACAGAGTTTATAGGGCCATTAGAGGGAAGTTGGAAGTAAATGTTAACTTTGGGCAGAAATGAATAAATCGGAAATTGGTGTGAAGGGTCTTCTTAATCAGAAATGGAAACAAAATGTTGGGAGGTTTCTCGGAAGGTAGAGTTGTGGATTTAGGTTTTATGAGATGTCTTTTAAACATTATTTTGGTTGTTTTCATCTACTTGTTTTGTTTTGTTGCCAAAACTATTCATCTTTTCTCTCACCACGTGGTCGCACAATTCATTCACTTTTCCTCAACTTTCCTACTAAACATAACTCATACTGCACTTTTTAACGTTTTGTGTCATTCAATCTTGTTCAAACCAAAATAAACTCTCTATTCAATACCAATACCAAATCTAATTCTAATTCATCAGACATATATAGAGTTATACTTCTCAAATCATATATATTTGGTTAAACAGTTGTTTTATTTTTATGTTTTCTTATGATAATATCTTGTTTTTTACATTTATTATTATAATATCGTTAGAGGTAATGGTCATCTTATTTATTTTGAAATTTTAATTTATCATAATTTTATTTTTAATCCATCTTCATAAATTAAAAGAAAATGATATATATAGATATATAAATTATATTTATTTTAAATTTTAAATTAAAGACTTATCAATATACATATATATAAATAAATAGTAATTGTTAATGTTGTTTTACCAAATATTCGCGCTTCAGATTCTTCTGCTCGTCCTTGACGTACTCCTCCTGGACGTCGATGAACTCAAGCTGACGCTGGAGGGACTTAAGGCGGCTGTAGAGGTCATCTTCGTCGGTTTCACCGCCGCCGAAGCCTCCTTGGAGATAGTCGGATTTGATTGCCGGGAACGAAGGAGGTGGCTCCGATGAGGGTTTCGGGTCCAATACCATCACGAAGGAATCCATTGATGAGAATTTGGGAGAGTAGGGTTTGGCACGTGAAATGGGAAATGAATGGAACGAAAGGATTTCTTTGTATTGGAAGGATTTGTTTTTTGGTTTTGATGATATTTGATGAAAAAATATGAAATGACCAAAATGACCTCGCTGGCGTGTCAGGGAAGAAAAGAAATTGGATTTGTGCCATTGATCAATACTCAATAAAGGAAAGTGCTGGACTAAAAACCCAAACAAGAAACAAAGAAAACACATGAATCTTGTGACAGTCTCTTTTTCTTTCCTTTTCTCACGTCTTTCATTTCTATACTTTTATATATATATATATATATATATATATATATATATATATATATATATATATATATATATATATATATATATATATATATAAAATACATATTTTCAAAAACAATTTCATAACTCTTTATAAATTAATAATATAGATACCGTAATTACTATTGTGTTTTATTTTTATAGAAATAATATAACGGGAGAAAATTAATATTCAACTAAAAAAATTAGTATATATGAATGACATAATTCTTCTACTAAATATTTAAAACTAATTATTAAGAAGATGTAGGCTCAAAAATACTGAGTATAATTTCGTATTGTTTCATTTATGTAGATAGTATTGTTTTTAAGATACGAATGTGTATATATAAAAAAAAGCTAAATATTCACCATCCTTAAAAAAAGCATCCAAATTATAATTCTCTATTATTATAATAATCATAAACAAAATTTATAATAATAAAAATAATTTAAAATAATTATTATATCATTAAATAAAGTTGTAAGAAATATATTTATTAAAAGGTGGGTGTCAAACAATCTTTTCCAAAAAAAAAAATCATTTATTTGACAGTAGACAATAAAAATAAATTAGAAGTTGCTTTGATTATTATGTTATCATCATCTTACTAACAAAATTCATTAGTAAGTTCTAGAACCGGTATAGTTTTTTATAAAAATATATAAAAAAAATGTTAATTAATTTATGTGAAGATTAAAAAACATGGGTCACAAACAGAAAACCATGAAATGAAAAAATAACAGAGAAATTTCGCATTAAAAAAAAAAAAGACTGACTCTGCGTCTCACACACACGGGAATTGAAGTAGAGGTTAGATTGTTTGGAAGACCACTGCCATTTTTCTTTAATAATAAAGTTAGATATATGGTCCTCGAGAGAAAAAAGAAAAAACGAAAAGATGGTTTTAAAAATTGTATAATTGAATCAATTTATTAAAAAAATAAAAGATATATAATGATAGATACAAATAATATAACATATCTCATTTGTCAAATTATTTTCTTTCATGCTATTCCTTAATCTAACAAACCAAATTAAAATCATCAGCCCCATACTTCAAGTCCTCTCTACCAAATATAACATAAATGTCTCCATTATCTCCTCCAACAAATCAGACTACAACTACAAACAAGCATAACCAGACCGTATAAGAGTCTGCAAAAGGTTTTTTCTCCAAAATTATCTACGCAATGTATCAAAAAACAAATACTTTACACGATATGATGAGAGAAGTTGGCAACAACCAGAACAGAACACATTTCTCATTGGCATCATCCATGAACCCTCATGAAACATACCCGAAAGCAATATATGAATTCTGCACATACACAACACAAATTCCAAACTCCCTAAAAAGAAGAACCATAACCACGATGACTTAATAATTTAATTCAATCGATTTAACTTCTAAGTTTTATGACACAGAGAACCTTCTCCTTCTGGGCTTGGTCAAATCCACGTTTCCATCTTCCAAATGGGTCGTGTCCTTCGACCCGTTTCTGAACGGGTTCAACTTTCCCAGCGTTTTCGACACGGAGGAGAAGAACGTGTTTTTTTTTTGTGTGGTTCCAAACGACGTTGTTCCATGCCCCTGAGTGTTATCGGCGTTATGAATGTTCTTATTCTGCAAATCAGAAATGTACATCTTCATCTTCAGTAACTCCGATCTCAACTCCTCGTTCTCTCTCACCAACGAAACATCCATCTGAAGCTGATTCTTCTCCGACGTCACTTCACGCTCCTCCGGCCCGCTCCGCAGCCGCAACTGGTCGTAGTAAAGCGCGTGCAGCACAATCTGCACCGGCAAACGCTTGTTCTGCGACGCGTGCACACGCGCCTCGTATGAAAGTTTCAACGGATCCATCACACTGCATACCTTCTCTCTTTCTATCTCATCCAGCTTCGGATGCGCCTGCAAGAACCAAAAGGTAAACCGTTAAAAGCTGTCGTTTTCTCCGACTCAATGTTTCAGAACGAGAATAAACTGTTACGTGGTGTAATAATGTAACGTACCTTGCGGTAAATATCTACAGCGTGGTATAGATCGTCATCGACCTTACGCGCGTTTTTAGGAATCAGGATGGCGATGCCGTTGAACTCGGCGATCTCTGCGAGGTACGCGTCGACGGTTTTCACGACGCGCTGCATCGCGGTAGAGCAAGGCTCTTTGAAGTCGCCGGTGGTGAAAACCGCGTTGCTTTTATGATTCTCCGTAAATCTGGAAATTATTTTACGCACGCTTTCGATATCGAAGAGTCTCTCGCCGTCGTAGCTGAACGAGAGCACGAGGAGGTAGTCGACGGTCACGTGCTCGAGGATCGCTGAAATCCGCTTCTCGAGCTCCATTTTGCAGGCGGTGGAGGCAAGGAGGTAGATGGCGCAACGGAGGATGCAGCACAGGAAGTGGATCGGAAACGCTGCTTTCTCGGCGGGGAAGAGATCCACGATTGATTCCAGAAGCTGGCGTTGTTTGGATCTGGAATCGCAATCGCCGGGATCTGACGAGTGGATTCTGTTGCCGGTGTTTCGCGGGCGAGATCTCGGAGCACACGCTCCGATTAGGTGATGAGCGCGGCGGCGACGGTGAGAGCCTTTGCGCCTCGCTGCTTCATGGCGGCGATGACTCTGCTGAAGAAATCGATGTCGAGAACCGCTAGCTCTTCCGTCCACCAGTTCGGTGGCGAGCGGCTGGGAAAATTGGCCTCCCTGCAGGCCTTGGCACTAACGGGTTCGACGCAGCGTTTCACGGCGTTGATTTCGTCAGCGAAGGGGAGGAGGTCGTGGCAGGACTTGAGGACGGTGACAGCGCCAGTGAGCGTGAAGAACGCGACCTGCGTGAGAAACTCCTCCGTCCGTCCGGCGAGGTTGTTTTCGCAGTACTGATCCGTCATCTCAAGGAACTCCGCGGCGCATATCAAAACAGCGACGTTGTTGACAGTTATTTCAAAGTTGATGCCGTAACAGAATTTTGCGGTTTTTTCAAAGATTGTAGGGCCACCTGGTATATCAGAGAGGTCGATTCTAGTGAGTTCTCTCTCTTCAGATTCCAGTATCAGTTTTCTTATGTAGTTGCTCTTTGCCACCAGCATGAACTACACCAAACATGTTCAAAACCTTTTTCAGTGACATGCATGAACCAGTAGCCACATAATTGTTAACAATCATTAAGTAATAAATACTCACCTTGTGGAGAGAGAGAGAGTGGTTTCTCCAACTTCAACTAAAGGAGTATTTTATTTAAATATAGATTTAAAAAAAAGCATAAATATATCTTAATTTTTAATTTTTAAAATTACATTAAATTTGATGTTTTTATAAAAAAAAATTACAATAATAAATAAACTCAGAAAAATTAGTGTGTATGATTGCCATCTTAAGATTTATTAGGTTGATTTTTGTTAAATATCGATAAAAAGGAAAATTCACCTATAAACTTAAGTCACTATAAAAAAATAGTAATTGTTAGGTTTTTAGAGAGGTATTTAATTGGGAGAAACAACACCAATGACATATGAGATCAACCCATATAAAGTATTAACATCATTTTCAACTCAAAAACCTTAAGACATTGAGTTATGAGTCTTTCTTTCTTACACGTTACTCAACTTCCTCATTTTTACTTAATGTATGACTCATACTCACACTTAAATTTTTCAACCATCTTTCCCTTAAGTGTGAATTTATCCACTATGATACATCTCCTGAAGCTCACTAATAATTCTTCCATGCATTGTACTCCATCATAACGAAACACATTTATCTAACTCACAAACTCGCTAATAGCCCTTTCATGTATTATAGTCCATTATAACGAAACATGCTTATTTAACTCACACTCACTAGTAGGAAGACTTTAGATATAAGGATCACTCTCAAATTGTCAGTCACCTCACAAATCATAAGCTCTAGTACCACTGTTGGATCTTTTGAGAGAAAATTTACTTCAGAGAGACAACATCAATGAGATATGAGTCCAACCCAAGTAAGATATTGACATAACTTTCAACAAATTGTCGATCACCACACAAACTATCGATTATGATACCACGCAAACTCTCCCATGAAGATATTCTCGTTCTTTGTAAAAGCTTTAGATGTAGGATCCATTGTGGGAAGATCAACAGTTTGGAGAGTAGGTTCAGTTATGAATGGAATTGTAGTAGTTTGATCAAGAGATTATAGAATAGTACAAGTGAAAAGTATTAGATAATAGAAAATTATATTTTGATTATGGAATAATTTGTGACAAATATGAGAAATGGAATAAGGAATTTCTTTTGAATGAGTACTTGGAATAATTGATTATGTTTGTAGTTCAATTGAAGCAGATGTGCTATATACAATAGGTGTTTCCAGTTTTACATCAAGTAATCGAGTGAGAATATAGAAACTTGAAAGTTGATTAAGGGAAAATAGTAAATACCATACCTTATTTGGAGAAATTGGATGTGGTGACTCGATGGAGACTTCGACTACGAATTCTAAGTTACTTGATATTGGTCGAAGTCTCTTTCTATGAAAATCAGGATAATCATAGTACGTATCGAATCATGTGTGAATAACAAATTCGGGAAGTTTAAAGGCTATGTATATACTAGCCTGTGTTTTCTTTTGAATGTGACGAGTGAGATGTTATCATTGTCGTCAGAATCTAATTATGATTGGTAGTATAAGGGGAATGTTGGTGGCAGAAGGTGCAGAGACCTAAAGTGGTAAGGAAATGCTTAGTATACATATAATCGATGAATGTTATTGAAAGTAAAAAAATGATTGTTACCTGTCCAGATGGAGTTGGAGTAGGATGTTGTTTTCGATTTGGATTTTTTTTGGGTAAAATATAAGGTAATTAGAAGGAATCGAAAAACATAAAATTGAAAAAATGAATAATCGAGAATGTGATTAAATAATAGAAGAAGAACTTGAAACCTACTGGGTGACACGCAAGGCCTTTTGCTTTTCTTTTAGATTTTGGGGGAAGTAGGAGCTTCGATGGGATCAGAAGTTTCTTCTTCAAGTTTAGTAATTTTGATGGAAGAGGAAACTACAAGAAAAAGAAATACATAAGTATTTTGAAAAGGAAAGTTAGGAGATAAAATAAAACTTGAAGAATAAATCTCATAAAAAAGTGTAATGGTCAAAATAGATATGTGGACGATATGGGTGAGCCAATTAGGGTAAGGTTGAATCAGGTAAATGAAGATAAGGATAATAGGATAGTCTAGATATAGTAATGGCTTTATTAAGTAGTTTTTGATGTAGTAATTCATGGTGTAATCTGAGCTCACAAACACATTTAGGATGTGTCAAAGGTTTGGAAACTCCAAAAGGGACATATGGGAAGGTTGGTAAATTAGTTGGACAAAATCTTTTGAAAGGAGTTTTACCTAAAGGATTTATAGTTTTTTTAGCCTCTTGATTTTGTCAAACTTTATCACTTAAAGAATAGACTACACTCCTAAAAGTATATTCTAGTTGAAGAGGATCATAACATTCTTGGTAAAAATTCTCAAATACAATAATTTTAAGATAGTGCTCATGTTTACCTTTCAGAGTCTTTGTCTTGTCCTGTGTAGGAAATTCAGGATGAAGGATCATTCGAGACTTCAAAAAAGAAAATGATAAATGCTTTGAAAAGAACCATTAATCCCAAAAAAATGAGATTCAAAGGTGCTTGGGTTCTAAGGGGTAAGGATGGTATTCAATAGGCTTTGTGAGAATTAGTTGTAAGAGGGTTTCTTGAATGATTGAATCATTACAAGTGACATCTTAAGGAATGAGTTCTTGAAATCTTGTAGTAAGGGATGCTTGGCTGAGTCTGAATTGGCGTGAGAAATGTTTGGGAACATATGAAAAAAATTGGACGTCTTTCATTTGGAATCCAACGATAAGTATGTCCCAACTCAAGAAACCACTCCAAATACTGATGAGTTCAACTTGTAGTCCTGGAGTGTTGGCTAGAGGTTTGAATTTGAGCTATGGAGGTCCACGAATGTCTTGGGGAGTGTTGCCTATCTTGGAAAATGGAGCTAGAATATTATCAAAATCTGTGTGTGCTAGTAAGAATTTTATATGAGAATTATGATGTGAGATCTAGTTTGTAGTGTTTGGAATGATGGGTAGCTAATCAAACGCCCTCCAAAGGGTATGAATGGACAAGGCTTGATATTACTGAGGGGTGGAGAAGTTTTGATTCTTTAATAATTATTAGTCATAATTGAATGAACTATAACGAACCAGAGAGGTTACCACCAGGTCAATTGGATTGAAGGTCACCAATTGCTTCTCTAAAAGCAGTATGTACATGAGTAAGAGGCAGTTTCGCTAAATAAATGGTAGGGGTTCCTCGATGTAGTAAGAAGACTAAATTATAATAATAAAAAGAAATTTGGATTGATCGGGGGCAGAAGACATCTGTACACAACTAGCATACAAGGAAAGCTATATGTTCTTCGTCAGAGACTTCAATGAAAGGATCATCGACGAAGTGCTCTTAGAGAAAATGACCATATGATTTTCTATTGCAATGAATTTTTTATTCAACCGTTTTATCAACCAGAAAAGCATTGATGTAGTATTTCTCTCTAATGGGTTTAAGACTCATTATAGGAAACAGGACCACAGAGGAGTTCGATGGCGTTTAGATTTTTATTCGAGAGTTGGACTACTGGGAGAAACATTGACATACCAAAATAATCTATGTCAAAGCAAGAGAGATAGAGAATGTCATAAATACTAATATTTCTCCAATGGTTCTTAAAATTGGCCTCAACCCAATCAAACCATTTAAGGTAGAAGGATTTTTTCTGAGGTGGCCCACAACGATACACTTTGGACAATTGAAAAAGAAAGTTTACTTTGAATTTTTCAAATTATTGTTGAAGAGTGGAATTGTCTTTGCTGTTTGAAAGGAAATATTTTGGATGGTCAGAGTTTTGGATCAATAGTCCTCCCAAAACAAGTGAAACACAACCAATTGAGTATGAGATTAATACCTGTATAGAGAAAACCTTTTTGGATTCTTCTAATAAACCAAGAACGGATACAAAAGTTTTTCCGTTTAGTTCAACGAATTGAGTATTAATAGGTTGGACGGTGGAATTTCGAGAAGTTACAAATGATAAAGCCATTTGAAAGGGAGATAAGACAAGATTGGCAAATGAAGAAGATTGTATGTTAAGTCGAGATTCGAGTACGATGTAGGAAAGATAAGGGTAAAGCAATGGAGAAGATCTTGAGAAATGGAGACTAGAGTGTGTTTGCAAAGTAAGGCAAGTGGTGAGGATAAGGAAGATAAATAGTTTTTAATTTTGAAAGACGAGATTTTTTCCCGGGAAACCTAGCAATGTAATAGGCTCGGTGTAGGTTCATATCTAATAAATAAAATATTTTAAATAAATTTAGACTAATAACGGATGAAAGAGTGACAATACAGAGAGTAGCATTTATTATATGAATTTTACATTTATGAGAGGAATGAGATGTGATGATGGAAATATAGGATGAAACAACTTTTGAATAAAATAAGGATAAAATATTTGAAGTTAATATTGATGATAAGAGAATATATATTCATCGAGATTCATATAGTATTTTCTTAGGAGACATTTTGCTAAGTCTAAAAATTACAAATAGATCGAAAGAATAAATCAAGAAGGAGACATCGATAATTGTAAAGAATAAAATGTGGTAATCGATAAAAGTTATATTATGAAGATAGGAAAGTCATACATTATCAAAAGAAGAGGATTTGGGAGACATCGAAGAGGCTAGAGTATCATTAGTCGAGAATTGAAGATTTAAAGAGTGGAGAATATCAAAGCAAAATATCATAATGTATCGAAAGAATAAAATATCGACATGAGTTTTGTTAGAAATATCAACAAAGTGGAGCAAACAGTTAAAAAAAATAACCTTCGTAGTTACAAAATATATATATATATATATATATATATATATATATATATATATGATAAAATAAATATAACAGAGATGATTGTCAAATTATACAAAGAAACTTACATTATAAACAACGAATTCTTTACCCTTTCAATCACCATTTTTATTGATTTTCTTAATCAATTTCCATTTT